ATATAAATTTATACCTTTTCCGAGATGATTTGTTATAACTCTTGTATTGTTTTTGTCTGATTAATCTAAAGTAAAAAAGAATATGTTCTTACTCCAATGGAAATTTTAAATTAAGTTAGGCATATATCATAACAAGCAAAATGCTATTAACCAGGATTTTTGCATTAGGTTTTATCAGCATTTGTTTTCATTGTATGAAGGTGTCATTTTAAATTACATAGTTTTAGTTACTCTGTTCTTTTAGAATTATGAATTTTTTTAGAGTTTAGTTCAAAATCGTGACTTCAGAATTAGGTGTTAATTTTTGCAATTCAAATTACCTAATAAATTCTATTCGTGAAAATCATAGAAACAAAAAGCAAATGAACATACTTTTGTTGAAATCCATAAATCTCAAGTCTGAAAGCAGAAATGCTACTTTAAAAGGCAACCTCTGGAATCAGCTATGCATCCATCTTGCTTTGCCTAATGATGATCTACTTTTTCAAAAGTCTCGTTAGATTGAAATTTCAGTTATGCGAACTGATTATCTTGTTAGAACCAGGATGCTTTTTACTCAATGAATACTTTTCTGCTATAGTTAAATCTTATTTCCTATTATTTCTGGTGAAGAGAGGAAGATCACCATTGTTATATGTTAGAGACCATTGTAAATAAACATTGTTTTCATACTGCCTCTTTCTAATAGTTTTCTTAAATTTTTTGTATACTCAATTATTAAAATCAAAAGAAATGATGCCCACATACCAATAAGGTTGCAGTGATATAGAGTTATTTATATATTCTTTCTTATCACACAAAGTACTCAGCCTCAAAAAGTACTCAGTGTCAGTGCTTTTCACATAGATGGTACTCAGGTAAGTCCTTCTTTTTTTTTTTTTTTTTTTTTTAGCTCTGTCTGAGAGGCTGGAGTGTAGTGGCACAATCTCAGTTCACTGCAACTTCTGCCTCCTGGGTTCAAGCAATTCTGCTGCCTCAGCCTCCTGAGTAGCTGGGATTACAGGCGTGCACCACCACGTCTGACTAATTTTTGTATTTTTAGTAGAGACAGGGTTTCACCATGTTGGCCAGGCTGGTCTGCAATCCTTGGTCTCAAGTGATTTGCCCTCTTGGGCCTCCCAAAGTTCTGGGATTACAGGCGTGAGCCACTGCGTCCAGCCACCCAGCCACTCAAACAATTCATTTTGTTGTTGTTGTTGTTGTTGATGTTTAATTTTGTTTTGTTTGATTTTTTTCAGATGGAGTCTTGCTCTGTCGCCCAGGCTAGAGTGCAGTGACATGACCTCAGCTCACTGCAACCTCCGCCTCCTGGGTTCAAGCAATTCTCTTGCCTCAGCCTCCTGATTAGCTGGGGTTACATGTACATGTCACCACGCCCAGCTAATTGTTTTGTATTTTTCGTAGAGACGGGGTTTCACCATCTTGGCCAGGGTGGTCTTGAACTCCTGACCTCATGATCCACCCACCTCAGCCTCCCAAAGTGCTGGGATTATAGGCATGAGCCACCACACCTAGCCCAAATCATTCTTGATATGTGATCAGTTTACTTGTTAAGCAAAAGAAAAATACAGACGACAAGATATAGACATGGCCATCAGCTTACTGTGTTTAGGGTTCAGTGGCAAAGAGAGTAGCATCAATGTTAACATCTGCAGTGGCAATAGATCGCTTTCCTTGATGGGTTTTGGTGTCTTGGAGGCACAACTCATAAGCTCTAAAACATGTTCACATGGAAAATAAAAAGACACACTGCTAGGATGAACAAGGAATCCCCATTTTTCACACAGTCCTGCCAGTCTTGCCTTGCCACTCTTTACGATGTCAACTCCTCACTGGAATTGTTGGAGGAAGCATGGGATGCTGAGCAGCAGCATTGGCTCTGTCTGTGTGTGACCCCCCAGGACCCATCATGGGTCCTAAGCAGACCCTGTCCCACCTTGACACAGCAGTGCCCATGGAGGGGGAATAGGGAGAAGAGCAGCAGCATGTGAGCGGCGACATTTGGTGGCATCAAAATAATGTATGACCACTTAATTGCCAGGTATATGCTTGGAGTTTCACATATGGTATTCTCATTCATTTCCACAACATTTATTAATTGTTCATTTTTTTTGAATACATAATAGAGAGATAGAAAAGGCTAGTTCATTCTGTTGACCTTAAATTACCATGTTCATAAGTGGTTGAGCTACGATTTGCAGAGTTGTTTCTGAGCATTGAAGCCCTATGTATGCACTATGCTGCATGCCAAGCAGTGCTGGGCACTGGTTCTAGTTTCCTGTCATGAGGAAACTGTGAGATTCTCTTCCTTAACAATCTTCCAGCAAGAATGCAGTGGGTGATGTGAATGAAGCCAGGAATTCACTTATTATGCTCCCGTACTGGTCCCATGAGAAATATATACAGTAGATGTAAATGCTTCCGTGATCTAACTCTAGGCATTTGGTTACAGAATCCCATCCACACAAATCTACTGAGCACCCACTGCTCACAGCACCAGGTACTGTCCACTACCTGGACAATGTAAAATCCCCCTTCTATATAAATCAAACCTAATAACTCCAACACAAAACATTTACACTGTTGAAGCCTGTTTGACGGTAAAGCCGATCATAGGCTGAATGCACAATTTCTAACATCAAGGAATAGCGTAGGTGTATAAAATAAAAGTTACATATGCACAAACAACATGCTTCCATACCTGCCCAATTTGTTTCTGAATTTGGTGTTTTACAAGGAATCTGGCATATCAGCATGCTATTTGGAACAAGAAATGTGGTACATCAGCATGCTAGCTGAAAACCACCTACATTCTCTGAGCTTGTTATACCTTTTTCTGCCCTTGTAGGTTTATTATTAAACATTTAATTAATATCTCTGTTCTGCTGAGGTGTAAGTCTATTGGCTTAGCTAATAAGCAGTGAGGACAAAGCATCTAATAGCTGTTGGAAAGTCAATTATTAGATATAAATGAAAATATTAGTACTCATATTTCAAAGCTGATAGAGTTAAGCTTCTCAGAAAAAAATAAAATTTATTGTGAAGGACCACATATAATTTGCAATACAATCCCAAATTTCTTTCCTTTATAACAAAATGAGCACCATTCAGAAGTGGAATTATTAGCGCATTCTAATCTTTCATGCCGCACTAATCTGTTTAATCAAAGCTCCATCTCAGTTTGTCTAAGCATGCTGCTTGCCTCTGAAGGGCAAATCGCATTCCATCTAACAGCATGTGGTTTTAAAAGAGAATGCACTTGTTTTTACTCCCTGGGTAATGAGTTTAAAATCACTTTGTACTTTTGAAAAAAGAGTCAAGTTACAAGCAGCTTGGCTTATGTGACTATATTTAAAATTTGCATAGGAATCTGCAAAATAGAAGGCTCTGTGCTGTGCTGGTTTCTCACTTGTTTACAAATTTGTTCTAAAATATTAGTTCTCTTTGCACATTTGTAGGAAACTTGGGACTTGAAATATGTATATTTTACATAAAGTTGAGAACAGAGTGGCAAGAGCATGTCTCAAATAAGATTTTAAGAAGACAAAAACAAGTGACAAATACTAAAAAACCTTGATTAGTTATTCCAAGTGTTCCTAATTAAAAACCCTCCTTCGTATCAGTTCTTGTGCAGTCGTGGCTTTTCACAGACACTTGAGGTTGCCTCTCTGAGATTTGAAATGTATCAACATAGTTTTCTCTAAATAGCTTTTAACAGAGGAGCAGTCTATTCAAAACCCAAATAAACTAGAGCTGTGACAAGCAAAAGGGCTACAGTATTCCTTATTTTCTTTTGCCTTTGAGTATAAACTTTTAAATACAATTTCTCCTCTACTGTTTCTCATAGGAGCTGATACAGAAATCAGTGAGGTTTTAGAATGATATTTAATCAACCACGACAGACATGTCCCAGAATGCCTATCACAGTCTTGTTCCTTTCTGTATTTTTTTAATGTCATTTCACCACCCCCAACAGAAGTTCCTTAACCTTTCAGCTTCTCTGCAAGTTGAATTCAGAAGCCACCTATAATGGAACCACTTAAGCCGGTTGCTAAAATCCACATCCCTGGGCCCACCCAAACTTGTTGAATTAGAATATGTAATTCCACGGCTTGGGGATCTGCACATTCACAAATCTAAGAAAACACCGCCATAAAACTGGATGACTGCTCTGTCTAGTGTTAAACCTGTCTGCCTTGAGGTTAAGATTCTCTCTCTCTCTCTCTCTCTCTCTCTGTCTCTCTCTCACACACACAAACACACACACTTACACACACAGACAATACACACTTGCAGTCTTTATATGTCCTTCCATTTGTTCCTAGGTAATCTATCTGTGGGGGATTGGTTCCAGGAAGGACCCCAGAGGATACCAACACCCATGGATGCTCAAGTCCCTTATATAACAAGTTGTTGTATTTGCATACAAACTATGCACATCCTCCTGTATGCCTAAAATCATCTTTAGATAACCTGTAATATCTAATATAATGCAAATGCTATGTAATAGTTGTTATATTGTTTTGAATTATTTTTATTATTGATTGTTATTTCTTATTTCTTCCTCAAGTATTTTCTACAGTTGGTTGGTTGAATCTGCCGATGTGAAATCCCATGAATAGAGAGGGATGCCTGTACTGTGTGACATTCTACAGGCATAAATGAATTGTTTATAAGCTTTTAAACACTTACAGAGATTTAGAGATACATTTCACCTAATGGTGTATTTAGTGGACATTGACTGGTAGGGATAGATAGAAAAACTGGAAAAACATAGAAAATGTTCATCTTTAAGTAAGAACTTCAAAACACATTTCATCCTTGATAGGACTCATTAATCTATTTCTAATTAAAAAAAATTAAGAGAACATTTGAAAATTTGATATCAAACTGGATAAATGTCATATCTGCCTAATGAATGAAATGACAATCTTCAGCAATGCACTAAATTCTTATTTGCACATGGGGAAAATTATAACATTAGGAAAAAGTAAACTCACCACTTCTTCATGTCTACATTTTCTCACATTAATGCCATTTATCTGCAATGAAAAGAAAAGCATAGTTTCCTATGGCATATTGTAAACTGAGTTAATGTTTTGACCACACATATAATGATAAAATGTATACCTGTAGAATTGCATCTCCAATAAAGAGTAGTCCCGAAAGTTCCGCTGTGAATGAAAAAGCACAGTTGATAACATATTGACTATTTTTGCTATTCAGATGAAAGGACTTTTAATTAAAGATAAAATTTACAAAAATAAAAATTAAATGTTTTATATGGTTAGCATCTTAAAAGATCCGTTTTTACAATATGATTCAGTCTAATTATTGAAGCACATGCAAACATATTTACTTTTACTATTGCAGACCTAACGGTTGCTAAAAATGAGCTGCTCTTCTAAGGGTAGGAGACCACATTTTCTCATGCTTTTAAGATTATTAGGTCTCTGTGAAAAAGTTTAAGACATAGACATTTAATCCGTCATCTATGGAATTGGCTCCAAGTTCATTTTTAAACATTATATTGTTTTACTAATTTCAGTTCTTGCAATATCTGCTTTATATCTCCATTAGTTTTCCTACAGTGTCTTACGAATGGTTAGCTGAGTAAAATTGCAAATTAGAACTGAAAAACAGATACTTAAAATTGTCTTTACTCAACGGGACTTGTTATCATTACTTTTGTATCTTTGTTGGTTTAATGAAACAACTGAAAAGCCATGCAGTAGGGACTGCACGTAGGGACTCATACCTGCTTTCATGGGTTCCTATCTTTCATCCTTGTTCCCCTTCTGTGAGAGAAGCCCTCCCCCATAAGAGGATAAAGGGAAAGGACCCAGGAAGCAAACTCAGCCACTAATGCCTGAAGGTGGGGAAGCTGAAGCCAGTCAATCACATCATAATTTATGATTCTTAAATATCATGTCACACTTCAAAAACAATGTCTTAAAGAAATGGCTGGTACACAATTCTCTAAACACGTTACCTCTTTGTTCCTTGGAGATTTTTGAAACGACAACCGGAATGTTATGTTCTGCTCCTCCCTGAAAGGAGAAAATCATATACTGTACTTTTTAATCTACAAAAAAAAAATGCTGCTTTTAGCTAAGAAACGATACAGGTTCTGAATGGAATGTTAAGTGGATACCGGGCAGAATTTAAATAAACTTGTGAAATTTCTCCACTAAGGAGATAGTGCTCCCCATGAAAATCATCTACCTGTTTAGAATTTTGCTGAGACATCCAATAATAACAACTGGCTTTGAAAGTTTTCATTTATCAGCAAATATTGATTATGTATTTAGTAGGTATTCTCTTCAATGTGTAACAATGCTGTCCAATAGAAATTCTTACTTAGGATTCCAAACACCAGATAATTATATATTACTGGTATCCTGCTAAGTTATTCTATGCTGGCAGCTAAGGGCTTTTGGTGGTGCAGTGACCCCTTGGGATGCTAAGGAAGCAGAGAGAACTTTACCCGAACAAATGGATAAACAAAATCAGAATGTGCATATGCATGAAAAACCAGGGATTCATCTGCATTTCCTTCCTTAGTATTGAATTCCTCTTTGTGTGAAAGCACATACTAAAAATTTTACAGAGTAAAACATACTGCCAAGAATATTGAAGTACTACTATTTGTTTATTTATTTGCTTGTTTGTTTGTTGAGACAGACTTGCTCTGTCGCCTAGGCTGGAGTGCAGTGGTGCGATCTTGGTTCAATGCAACCTCCGCCTCCCAGGTTCACACCATTCTCCTGCCTCAGCCTCCCGAGTAGCTGGGACTATAGGTGTGCCACACCGAGCTAATTTTTGTATTTTTAGTACAGATGGGGTTTCACCATGTTAGCCAGGAAAATTTCGATCTCCTGACCTTGTGATCTATCTGCCTCAGCCTCCCAAAGTGCTGGGATTACACACATGAGTCACCGCACCCGGCCTGCAATAGTACTATTTTTTATTTGACCCAATGAGATATGAAAAAAGAAAGACAAGTAAGCTAAATTTACGTGAAAGAAAATAAAATGAATCCTTAAAAACTGAACAAAAATCCCGTTTTCTTTATTACAGTGTTGAGAAAGTTAAAAGCAGTAGTCGAAAAATGAAATCAGTACATAAAAGAATAAAATGTCACACATGAAAAGAAGCATAGAACTTGTAACACAGGCTAGTTGAAAAGACAGTCTGAATTCCATTGAAGTTGTTCTATCTTCAGAATATGTAAACCACCTAAGCCTTCTGTTTTCCAAGCAGAAAAAATTATTTTGGAAGAGATACTCTTTTTTCCCTTGCATGTCCATTTTTAACACTGAATTGCCAGTATACTTAAATATAAAATAGTCAATCGTTTTTTTAAAAAGCAGGAATATTTAATTTTTTTTCTTGGCAAGTAGAGTCCTTTCCACTTCCAGAATATTAAGAAGAAATATGATAATTAAGATAATGAAAACTGTCCTACTCACACTGAATTTCAAGCGCACTGCTCAATTCCCTGTTCCTCACTGTTTCACAGCAACCTAATATTTGTGCACTGCACCCCTCAGCTCTATGTGGGAAGACACTGGTGTAGGTTACAATGGCTCCCACTTGTTCTGTTGGTTGGTCTGTGTGTCCCTAACAAACACAGACTGTGTCTAAGATGACCCTGCCTCTGATTAGAGCAGAGATAGTGATTTGTGGCTGATAGTGTGGTGGAAATTACGTGCTTATTTGCACACAGTAAACACTGAATAAAGGATGCCTACTATGCTAACATAGTCCATCTATTAAGATTTATGAGGAAACTCACATAGCATTAAAGTGGTAAATAAGATTAGGACTAATCCCTTCAAAGATCCTTAATATTTATAAGTTAGGACTCCAAATTTCCAGTCCCCTATTATATGCTCCGTTTTGTCCCATTACAGTTATCAGTATCTAACATGCTATTTATTCATTTCTCACACTTACTGTTTTCTTTCTCCTTCCCATTCCTAACTAAAATGCAAATTTCTTCAGGGGACAGACGTTATTGGTAGTTTGTTTCATGCATTGATGTAAACCTAGTGCCTGAAATAATGTCTGGTTTATCTTTGAAATGTTTGTTGAATTGAATGAATGAATGAATGAATGAAGTCTAAGGCTTTCCCAGATCTAGTGTAAAGTCACTGATAGCCTCTAGAGATACTTGGAAATTAGAAAGGATGTTAAGGATGCATCTACGTTTCTTAGAAGGAAAAAGCTGGTTAACTCAAATGAGTCATTAACTGATGAACTTTTAGGTGAAATTAAAAGATGAAGCCATCATCCAGATACAGTGATTCAGATATTTTGGGACAGGGAAAAACAATGTTTTTGCTGGTCTCATCATTGAGGCTGTTATCAGACTATTTTCCTTCAGCTGTTTTTGCATTTCACCCTTTTCTCTTACTCTACTACTGAACACAAATTATTTTAATGCATAGACTATTAATGCAAATTACCATGGCGGGACATTGGGAAACCTATTCTTGGTGTCCAGAGACAAGGTTTTTGAGATAGAGTTTTTCTGCAGGTTGGCTCAATAATCCCATTCTTTCTTCAACACCCAGACTGGTACAGCAATCCCCTGCTTATTTGTGTTTCGCATTCTGTGCTTTCAGTTATCTAGGGTACAGTACAATACAGTATTTTGTGAGAGAAAGGAAGCACATTCACATAACTTTTATTATAGTGTATTGCTATAATTGTTCCATTGTATTATTAGTTACTGTTCATCTTTTACTATACTAATTTTCAAATTAAACTTTATCACAAATATGCATATGTAAGCAAATATATTATATGCAGTATAGGATTCAACACTGTCTGCAGTTCTGGGCAACTACTGGGGTCTTGGAATGGATCCCCCAAAGTTAAGGGGAGAGTATTATGACTATCTTTGTAATGCAAAATGTAACTAACATTTATTTTACCATAATTTTTCTTTTACATGTAAAATTTATCCTAAAATTTGAGTGGTTTGAATCCAAACATGGCTTTTGGGTTTTGTTATTCTGTTTTTATTTTATTTTATTTTTTTGAGAGGGAGTCTCACTCTGTTCACAGGCTGGAGTGCAATGGCACGATCTTGACTCATTGCAACCTCCACTTCCCAGTTCAGGTGATTCTCCCGCCTCAGCCTCCTGAGTAGCTGGGATTACAGGCACCCAGCATCATGCCCCACTAATTTTGGTATTTTTGTAGAGATGGGATTTCACCATGTTGGCCAGGCTGGTCTTGAACCCCTCCCTGACCTCGGGTGATCTGCCTACCTCGACCTCCCAAAATGCTGGGATTTTAGGCATGAGCCACTGCCTCTGGACTGTTTTTTGTTGTTGTTATTGTTGTTGTTTTGTTTTTTGCTTTTAAATTAGACATTTGGAGCCTGACATACTTTTTAAAGTAATTTCTGAAAATGACTTTAGTAATTACTAAATTTTAAGACAAAACTCAGAAGATAAAATTGGAACTCAAAATCATATTGCCTTCATTACTGAATAAAATGTGAGCAGCTAAGCTGCTACAGTTAATTAGATTTTGTGCAGGGCCTAAATGGGGAAATGTAAGGTTTTCCAGTCAATAATCAAATTATGTGGCTTGCTCTGTTTAAAACAGGTGATAGGCTTCCATGACACTTGAATAATAATGAGAATCTTTAAACTGCCCCTCTTCCAGTGCAGCTCCTGGACCTCCATCGCCCTGAACCTGAAGAACACGAGCATGCACTGTTGTCAGGCCAGGTATGCTCCTCCCTCCCTCCTAACCTGGAAACTGTTCATTTTGAAATTCTGACTTAAAGCCTCCTCCTTCAGTGTCTCCTTACTTGAAATAATTCAGTTATGTAGCACCGGATCATGCCTATGATTTACATTTATTTTGGTAACAATTTGATCAAAGTCTACTTTCCTACTGGAGTATAAATGGCATGAGGTCGGGGAAAGGCTTTCATCACCATCTTATCCCCAAGGCACTCCTGGGTGGGGCTGTGGCTCCTGACTGTGGTTTAGAGAATGTTGGAATTAACTGAGCACTGTTATTCTAGTTTATGGAGAAATCCAAGATTAGGAAAAGGGAGGCAGTGTTCTAAAGCACAGCCCAGGTAATGTTCACACATACATCGTTCAGCTTTGTTGTATTCTTTTTACAACGCATAGTGGATTTTATAGCTAGCTCTGTAGGAAGAAGGATATAAAATCCCATCTAAAGCATTTTGAGAAGGACTCAACACAATGATTTTACCAGTGTTGCTGTGAAATATCACCAAATACAACCTGGACTGCTTTTAGAGCATCAGGAGTCTTGCCAAGTAATCTTTTCAGTTCAATATTATTATTGCTCCAATCAGTCAATCATATTATGGGGCATGGGGTGCAGGGAAGATGCATAGAGCTAACCATTACTTTTCCTTTTAGAGAAAGGAAACTACTTGTAAGCAGAGAATAACAGTAATTAGAGTTAAGAGCTGCAATGGACAATTACAGAAGAGGCAAGTAAAGGAATATCACCTGGAGGAATATGGGCAAGAGTCATCATCCTTCTGGATGCTATCTTTGTCTGCCAACGTACTTCGTTTGATTTTGGGAAAAAAATAATTATCTTTTTCACATGCTATATGATTACCTTCATATGAAAGTCTAAAATAGGGAAATGGGCATTACTCAGTGTTGAAATAGGGGAGATAGGGAATAAAAGGGTGATGAATAAATATGAGATTTCTTCTGAAATTGATAGAATGTTCTAAAATTGACTATCGTGATAGTTGCAAAGATCTATGGATATACTAAAAACAATTTAATTGTACACTTTAAATGGATAAATTGTATGGTATTGGAATTATACCTCAATAAAGCTATTTAATACAAAAAAGTAAGAGTCTTTGAAATAATTGACCAGTGGTTTCAACTAATTCTTGGGACTAATTCATAATCCTCAATTTAAGCTTTAGTGCCTTCCTGTTATCTCCTTTTTTTGTTTTTTGAGATGGAGTCTCACTCTGTCGCCCAGGCTGGAGTGCCGTGGCACAATCTCAGCTCACTGCAAC